CGGATGAGAAATAAAATAAACAAAGTGAAAAATGGGAGATTCAAATAGATGGCAATAAATACTTGATTAGTTAAAATATTGCTAATTAAAGAACATGCCAAACATGAAAAGACCAATTTTTAATAGAAACAATTGTTTAACAACTTCAATTAGAAAGTCAATTCACCTTGCATAACTCAGCAACATTAGGGGTAACAAGGCTAACCGCATCAAAGCCGAACTTATGCAGACATTTTTGCACCCTCTGAAGAAGAAAGGAACATGAGCATGAGTTATTAAAGAATGAAACATACATCAGTTAATTGGGGAAAAACATTTGCTCTTGGAACTAACAGTTCCTAACCATGAAATCCAAAAGCACAAATGCAACCATTCATAGTTTCCATGTCTGAAGAATGATTATTTTCTTTCAACCGACCAATAGAAGAATAGCTTCTATGATTTTCAAACTATTTGATGCTAGCTTAAGAGTACTTTTAATTGTTGCAAAAGAAAATCTGTGACTCATTTGCAGTAATTAAGGCCAAATAAAAGTGTAGCTTCAAAAATCTCAGAAGTAGGAAAAAGAAATACCCTCCAAACAGCGTTCCTTTTTCCAGTTCCAACAATATGTGGATGATGTGAGCAAAACATGAGCTGCAAACACACATCTGGGGTACTAGTGGATACAGCAGATGCTATAACAACTAATGCCCTCACCAAAACCTCAACTGGCGGAATGAATGGAACTCGAGAATCTACAACACTTTCTGTATCACTGTATCCATGAATAAGTTTTCAGATATGATACACTACCAGTTAATGAAGAAGCAGAGCCACTCAATATGGTGAAGCAAAAGCAATCATTCCACATCCATCATGTAGGAAAAATGGAAAATACTATGAGAAATCAACAATATAAAGAGTTCACGACCAGAAAAAAATTGTTTAATGACACAACATACAGAATAGAGAATACTGAAGAGGATGATAGTCATAGATACAAATAAAATCTGATAATGGCATGATTACAAAATATCTTTAAGAATTGTAAGTTAAACTTATCATATCATTACCATATGTTTTGTGCAAGCCCATATTCAAATCATAGGCCCAATATAGAGTAATGTCGTTACAGCCATAAGATGGGCAGTGTTAAAAGGCTCTCCACACTGGCATATGCTTTCATCCATTTCAAATGAACAAAGCGTTGCTCATTCTATGAACTAACTTGTCATGCCAAAACAATACGAGGTTTATGATTATAAACCTAAGTGGTCACATTTAATTTAATTTTCGAAGAATAACAAAAGAAGAAAAGGCTTTCGCTGAACAGCTAAAGAAATTCATCACATATTCAGAATTTCTGATTGTTGAACACTCATTGCAGCTGTATGCAGAGAATAATGCCTATTGATTGCAAATTATCTAGTTCACTCACTCTCGGACATTTCTGGCACCACACAATTATCTGTGCAAAATAAGTACTTTTTTGTTGATTGGCAACCAATGCTTCTAAGCCAAAAAAATGGAGAAAGGAAGCTTCATAAAACAATGTACCGATTGACCATGCAATCAAGTAAAGCTTATTTTTCCACCCCCTTCAATATTCAGGATAATTGACAGTACATGGTGCTCGCATTACAAACATAATATCAAAGAATTCAAATTCCAATTGAAGTCAGCTGCATCCAGGTCAACGGAAATATGGATGTGTATCTTTATTAATGGTCCACAAGAATATTGAAGGAGGATGGTTCACATCAATATCAATTTTCAACCACAAAATTTGACTTAGGCCTTTTAACCCAAGCACAGAAAAACTATAGGAACTCGACAGAAATAACACAATCAACCAGAATAGACAAAAGAAGACAATTGGCAGAAAAAGGAAAAGGCCAAAGTAGAGTTTCACCTCATCTTAAGAAGAGCGACTTTGTCCCCAACAAGAGAGAGATAACTTGAGAGTTCAATCAAAATAGCTTCAGATAACAGAGGAGATGCAACAAGAATCTTCTTCGTAGTGCCATGGGCTGCTTTTCGTATTTCCCAATTAGGATGACACAGCAAAAACAATATGAACTGCACATAATAGAAAAATAATTAATAACAATAATATCACTGCAACAGAGAACTTAGCAACATGATCCTAATAACCTGTAGGAATGCTCTGGCAGAAAAGATCTCCAATAACCTGCAGCACAGCAGATAAAGGAAATATTAAGTTTGTGGTGTAGAGTCTTTACAGATATCCCAAGCTTCCAAACTAGATTTTTCTGGAACTTGAATTTTGGGTGCAAATATTCACCATGGAGCATGACGTCCCATTACCAATTAATAAGGAACAAAGCACAAGCGTCATCTTTTTCCATTGGTACTCAAATCAACATTGTTACATGAACTACCTATGAAATAGTGCCATATATGGAAATTCGAGGGGGAAACACAATAGCTGATGTGACAACATACAGGTTTCTTTCCATACCTGACTCCGGAGAGTGGAATTATTAATTTAAATAGAAGGATAAATACCTAAACATCCGCAAAAAAAATGCAGATATGAAAACAGCGAGAGATTATTTATCTGAAAAGTATTTCAGCATGGTCATACAAAACAACTAGAGCATACCGTCGTGGATAATCCACAAGCAAAACCTCAACAAGGTCAACGCAAGCCATTAAGTCCTCCACTGTTAATTTGGATGCCTGCATAAGCAAGATGAGATATAGCTCAGAGCTTCTAAAACAGTTCATAATTGTTCGAGGCTAAGGAAGTTCCATCAAATAGGTGCAAGCATACTGTTTCCAGAAATAATAATGCTACTTCGTAAGTTCTTCAAAAATATGTACACATTCCATCAAAGCATTTTTAGTTTTTCTAATAAAAACCTACAATAATGAAATCTGTGATCATTGCTATGAGGATTACTACTTAAACAGAAAGATGCAGTGATAAAGCCATTTACTGCCCAAATTTCATGGCAAAAGAAATGACAAACTGTCATAAGACAATAAATAACTGACCAGAGAAATTGGAATAATAGAAGGTTCATTCTGCAATATCAACGGCCAAATCTTCTCCTTGGACACCATTTCATCTAAAAAAATTAAAGATATAAGAAAAACAAGTACTGGAAATTAATAAGATGTCAGTAAACAAGATTAAACAGAGCCAAGATGGTCAGTTCACAAGGTTAATTAAGCAGATCGAGACGAGCACCTGCTTTAACATCATCAGCAGCAATTTTCACCAAACAAAGTAGTGCAAAAATGCCATCCAATCTCTGAGCAACTTTGGTAAAACCGGTTTTGACTAGTTGGAGAAGAGACGGCAACAACGATGACATCTAGAGAACACAGCATTAAGTAAAGCTAACAACCAGTAATATCCAAGAAATAGCCAACATGAGTAACATAGTTTTGAAAATATATATGACCTCACCCGTACAACTGCTTCAGTATTTTTTATTATCAGTCGCAGACAACGAAGATGGGCCCTTCTCAGTGTTTCCTTCTCTTTAAGCCCAGAAACAATAAAGGTTACTAAATCAGAGGAAATAGCATCTGCCGATTTTACAGCCCAAGATGCTAAACAAGACAAAACTGCAAGCTTGACCTCTTCATTTCCTGCAAACCAACACGCTTTCATTTAAGAAAGGTAACAGAATCCTACCTATCCTCAACGATGATAGCATAAGAAGACAAGCATATCAAAGTCAAGCAGATCCAACTAAACTATCTGTAAAGAAAAGCTAGTTTGCACATGTATATGTGTAGCTACACATAGAAAAAGGATTTCACATGACCATTGACATACCATCGTCTTTGTAACAAGACAACAGAAATCCGCACACAGTTGGCGACAAGATATTGAAATATTTTCCTTCGGGTGCATCAGAAACTTCTCTTAGCGCATTAATCATACCAACTCTCTGATATGGAAATGTAAGTCTGCCTTCTGAACCTGTTTGCCGTAAATCTATTAGAAAAGATAACCAACTATATAGTAATTAACTGATTGCAAATTGGAGAAGCAACTACAATCACTCCAGCTAATAGCTAATGCTACAATAGGAACTTCAATATCAAAACACATCATGAATAGGGTACAGTTTGGTGATAATAATAAAATTTGTCACTGGTAAACATTACATTGTGATAAAGTAGTCATAAAATCTATAATTTTGCAAAAACACCTACCTCCAATAACAGATTTGATGGCAGTAAACATTGCTTCCACAGTGTCAGGGCTGCTAGACTTTTGACTCAAGCACCTAACTATGGCTAAAGCAACAAGTCTTCTTCCTTCATCTGCGTGCCTAGCTTGTGCTAGTACCACTGAGAGAATTTCAATGGCATATTTACTTAAATCAAGATTCACATATTTCAAAAGAACTCCAATTGATTCAAGGACAAGCTCGGGATTTCGTTTCAACATCTTGACAGAAGACGGGAGTATAGTGTTTCTAAAATCTTCATGGGACAGACGGGTAAATAATGGAAGAAAAGCTTGACTGAGGTCATTTGTGGGCTTCTCCTTTGCATTTAGAACAGTTCTAACATATACTTCAAGAAGTATATCCTGTAGAACCAACGGAAAACCATAAGCACAGATGAAACCACAAAAATACCAACAATATTCTTTACCAACAAGGGTGTGAAGATGGGAAAGCGAATCCACCTTCCATGTCTCAAATAAAGCAGGCTTCGAATCCAAATAATCAAGCATCATATATGTCAACTCTGGACTATCTTTGCATGGGATCCTCCCATCCTTTAGTTCCTCCAGGTATGTTTTGTATATATCTGGTGACTGAAACAGACATGCACTTTCTCATCAAGAAAATAAGTTAACCATAAAAGGGGAAAAACAAAAAGAAGGAAGCAAAAACCATACAGAGAAAATAAAGATGAGACCTTAGTGAACAAAGTAAAAAAGGTTGTTCTACATGCCCTTCTGACCCGGTAAGCTCCTTGAATGACAACATGAAGTAGTGATGCCTGTGCTTGGAGTACTTTAGAAAATGCATTCTTTGACAACAAGGCAAACTGACTGTATATTAGAAGGAAGCAAGACCACTTTAGAAGCCTGTACCCCCCTGTCAGTGATTGGAACTTTGAATGCCTTTCCATGGTTTGTACAAGGGATGCAGCAAAACTTTTCATAAATATCGTTTCACTTAACGCTTTGATTATAACGTCGTCCACGGCCTTCCTTGATCCGCGATCATCATAGATATACAGAGTTTGGAATATTAAGTCAACCAATTGTGACGCAAACTCAGCAGACATCCCCGGAGGATCTAAAAAATTACATGTCAGAGAATCAATGTTGATATACAAAAAGTAGTACAGAGAGAAACTCCTACCTAGAAATACTGAGAAGTGATTCGAGCCCTTTTGCAAACAGTTTAAATTTACAGTTGTAAATTAAATTGGGAAGTTGCCACACTGTCCATATAGGGAAGCTACGAAACTTCACAGAACACAAACAAAAAATAAAAGCATGCAAAGCTCCAGCAAAAATGGCTGTTTCACGTTTTATGCAGCTTTCATCATCACATTCCAAATTTTCCAATCAAGGACTGGTTGGAATGAGTCGATAACGTCCCAAGAACCTCAACGTCAATAGTAACTTCATCAGAATGAGATCAAATACAAAATCAATAAAACACAAAGTATGTTATCCAATTATGGCTGGTGAAATCCTTAGTCTATATAATGATATAGGATGGCCAGTACAAGATGTGATTACCTAGCAATCCAACAGCTATGTACCTCAATCTACTTAACTACTCCTATGAATTCGTCATATCTTGAGAAACTGTAATAAACAAACTTCAAAGACTAAAAACAAACTCTTTCTATCTCTAGCACCAAAATTGGAAGTAAGATTGTCTTATTCTGATATAGATTTTTTACATTTATAAACTTCCTATCTGGTTATTTGACATTTCCTGAACCATATGAACACTGACTCTAGAGATTCCGACCGCAAGTGCAACATATTGAAGAGTACCAATGTGCTCAGTCCTGCTTGAAACTCAACAATTCGGCAATGGGGACTTCACCAGATAGAGCTTACTAGGAATCCATATATGATCAAGCTTGATCTGAGGGTGTAGACAAATTTGAAAAGGATGAGAGAGAGGGAGGGGAAAAAAGAAGGGTGGCCAGGCTTTTGCTATACCTAGGCTAGAATGGGTGAAATCTGTAATATGGATGTATTCGTAATATGTTAAAATTTTACACAATATGGCCAAAAAAAAATATAAACCTCATAAACAAGGTGTAAAGAGAAACAAGAGAAGCTGTTTTAGCGATGATAGATTGCTTGACCATTATTTCAGCTCCTTTCTGCAAATGCAAATGAGTTGACTTTTGGCTACAAAAAAGATGAATTTGTGAGTGCTATCAAATAGGATGAAAGGTGATGATCGTTGATTTTATGGTTCCTTGAGTATACCGATTCTACATGATTGAGTAAACATTGGGATAGAGTGAATAGTGTATTTGTAATAAAATTGTCCATTTGATAAATGGTGTGATTTTCATTTGGTTTAATTACAGACCCGAGTGATGATTTGGAAGTAAGAATTAGAGCATTGTACGGGCAAGCAGTGGTATGTCACAGAACAGAATACACACATGTGCTTTTACCATGTTAACAATAGAAAAAGAAAAATGAAGTCCGTTTTCTCTGTGTTCTCTTCAGCTCAACCTCATACAAGTTTCAGAGCAAGTCTAAGCTTCAAAACAAAAGAGATCAAAAGATATGAAAAAGATGGCCTCTACTAAGCCAAGCCAAGTGATGCCAGCAGCGAGCTCAGCTTGCTTAGCTCGACCGCAAACCCTGAATATTATCGTTGATCACAGGTGTAAAATGGGACATCCTATCATGCCAATACTATCACTTAGACAGTAGGAATTACACCATTTCAAACAAAAAAAAATATATGTAAACAAGGCATAGTAAAGCGAGGATTCCTGCAACTGTGCCTTACGGAAATATAAAACTATTGCATCATAGGTACTTCTATTCCGAAGGAATTACTATGTCCAGGGACAGAGATACTGACATTTACTTATATTTCCAGCAGAGCATTTTCCTTTATGGACATCACAGGCAGAGTCACAGTCTGAGTTTCAAATGGATACTACCGGATTGTGCTTCATCATGTATGAGCAGATATAAATGGATAGGCATAAATGGAACGAGCTTTTTAAACCAGTGATCAACTGTATAACATTCACTTTCATCGAAATTATTAATTCCAACAACTGTAACATGATCAGGTTGCTAAAATTTAGACACAATGTCGTGTATGTGTGTTATTGCATGCCGTTTATATTGCCAATATACCGGAGATTGTACCTAAGCTGATGAGTATGGATGGAATCTGGTGGCGGAAAATCTGAGAGCGACGTCTGGTTGACGGCGTAGAGACTGAGGGAGCAACAGCCATCAGCGACTCCATTGGATTGGCACCGTTGGACGCCATTGGAGTTAGATGAGATCAGCTGATGGGTTCTAACTTAGGGTTTAGGAGTCGCAAGCTGGAGTGGACAAAAGTGTAGTGAAAGTGAAAATTTGTATATATAGATAAAATTCCATTTTCCTCTCTTACATTTAATTCTTTCGTCCTCTGTGCAATTTGTGATTGGGTTTTTTTTTTTTTAAAAGATCNTCGTGTTGTGAAGTTTTCCTTAATAATGTAATATCAACAGTGACCTTATGTGAACTAGTGCGTACCCCGTGCATCGCACAGGTAAATAATATTAAATAACAATTATAAATAGGTTTCGATTCGAGTCACATAAGTGAGGAACTACTATTGATGCCTTTTTAAAAGAAAATTATGATGTCACGTGTGAAAATTTGAGTACGCAAGTTTCAAAAATTATTATTATAATTATAATTATTATTATTATTATTACATTGAGTAATCCGTGCTATGCACGACTGTAATTATTTATGGAATTTATATATTTATTTATTTTTATATAGCGAAGCCTGTCTATTTCTTTTTTAAAAAAAAAGTCTGAAGCCCAATTATGCTCCACAATATAATATACTCAACTAAATTGGTCGGGTCAAACTTAACGGGCCAATAACATATTATTGAATGGACCCAAATAAAGCCCAACCATGAAAGCAGACCGAACCATTAAGTGCGACCCAACATCTCAACCCGTTATGGCTTAAAGGAATGGATCAGACGGTTTGAATTAGTCAACCGATATCTAACGGTCAAAAATCAAAGATGTCATCTAAAAAAGTTAAAAATATCTAAACTATTAAGATTATGTCATTTCTTCTCCTCCTCTCACCTTCTCTATACTCTCTCTTATATCATTTCTACAAACTTGATAAAATATTCTTTCAAATTTTCACAAAAATGCTCTATTTTTTAAACAATCAATCACATCTATTGCGAGTCGATTTCTTATGTTAGATAAATCGATATTATATCTTGTCTTTATGTTTAGAAAGATGCCTCTATTATTTTATTTCTTTTTATTGTTATATTTTTTTGTGTGTTCTAAGATTTTATGTTTGTTTTTTGGTCGAAATCGATGAAAGACTGACTCTGATATTACTATTTCGACCATTTCAAAAGCTTTTTCTTTTTAATATCGAGACTTATGTAATTTGTTGTTCAATTATTTTGATTCATATTGCTTTTTTTAGTAGATTTTAGAAATTTCGTAAGTTTAATGGACGGATCTGAAAGAATTTTTCGATTTTCGGTCAAAATCCGAATTTATTCTATCGAAAAAAATGAATAACGGAAATGAAGTCTCATTTTTTGTTTGAATCTCTATTGTTTTAAAAAATGTTACAAATCTTAGTCGGTTATATAAATTTTGACTGTATTTTGAAATTTAATTTGAAATAAGGGTCTTAATCTGTAAAAATGTGTTCAAATCTTTTGTGAATGAACAAATTCCACATTTTAAGGGCAACATTTAATGTTGCCCGATTTTTTTGTAAGAAAATAAAAAAAAAAAGTTGCCAAAAGTGGCAAGTAATTAATGCAGATAGAATTTTGACCAAAATTTGACTTACTATTTTTGAAAAATGTTAATTCTTATTATATATATATATAAATATAAATATTAATATGGTTGGATGATAATCGATTGACCCAAAATGTTTACTGGTAGGATTTACCATGGGATATTTTACGTGTTTACTGCACTTTTTAAATTTTTTCACAAAAATACAAAGTTAAAACAGTAAAATATATACAACATTCATAAATTAGTCATAAACCAAAAGATAATGCAATTTGAAAATCAGTGACAAAAATAAACCATTCACAAACTGCAAAAGTTAGTATATTTGAAATTAAAATAACAATTTCATAAACGTAAAAATAATGGCCTTGTTTGGCGATTAGCGGATAGCGAATTATATTAGCTGATTTGACCAGCGGATTGCATTAGCGGTTTTTAAATAAGTGTTTGGTAAATAGTTGAAAGCTTATAGTTGTTTGACATTGCAAGATGGCCAATAAGGATATTTTATTATGTAGGGTGTATTATTTTAATAATAATATATTAAAACATTTAATATTCTTTAGTTGGTAATTTATAAATATATATATATATTTTTTTTAAATTTACTAACACTTGATGAAGAAGGTATGAATTTTACATTTTTCAAAATAAATTAATCATATGAATGACATATTATTATTTTAAACCAATGTAGATTGTAAAATAAATAAGACAATTAAAAAGTTCCAAGTAAATGATTTTTTGTGAATCCTCTATCTTTGGGCCCAAAAAGCTTATCAAATAAGCTATTTACCAAACAAGCTCAATAGCGGATTTGACGGGTCAAAACTCTCAATTAAGTCCAATCCGCTAATTTATCTTCAATCCGTTGTGTACCAAACGGGGCCAAAATTTCTCCATATATATTAATGCAGAATGTCTCGATCATACGTGTCGGTTTACTGTGCTTCATAATCTATTTGCCGAATTCCGATGCTTCGTAATCCTATATTTTTTATTTGGAGTAATACAAGTAGATGTGAACTTATATTCATGCCTATTAATTAAGACATTGAAAATTATAAACCACTTTACCAACTTAAATTGCAAATATATTTAAAAGTTAATAACTTATGTATCTTTTATCAGATA